GTGCTGGAGCAAGATGGTATCTCATTGTTGTTTTGATTTGCATCTCTCTAATAGCTAATGATCATGAGCATTTCTTCATATGTTTGTTGGACGCTTGAATATCCTCCTTGGTTCAGTGTGCCACTTTACCGAGGGGTAACACATACATGTATTTGCTTATAGTAAAAAAAGAATAATAAACTAAAAACTAATGGAAACTGAGGAAATCTGGAGGGAAAGTAGGTTTATCTCAGTATTCTGTGTTATGTGGTTTTCATTTGGAACCATATAAATGTCAACATAATTGCAAAACAGTTTTTTTGGGGGGACATAGTAGGAACTCAGTAAATGTTGATTTTCTTCCATCTTTTACCATCAGACATCTTGGATAAAGGTTTATATCTTATTTTCACTTCATTCTCAGTTCTCCCAAACCTGATTCCATTGCATCTAAATCTGCTTAAATAATTTTCACCAATTATATCAAATCCAATGGCCCTTTTTCTGTTCTTTGTCACATGTAATCCTCTTAGTCACATCCCTTCTTGAAGCTCCCTTTTTGGCTGTTTCACTTAGGTCAACACAAACCTTCCTAAACTCTAACCAAAAATAATAATAATAAGGGAAGCCTGGACCCTCTTATTCTCTTGAGTCATTCTCATTCTAACATTTTCTGGTACCTACAAAGGGTCTGTGCTGGGGTAGTAGTAGATACAAAGACAAGCGAGGTAGTTCCCCTGTTAAGGAAGTCATTACCAAGAGGGTGACAAAAAATAAACAACCAAACTCACTGCCATCGAGTAGATTCCAACTCATAGTGACCCCCATTGGGTTTCCGAAGGGGTAAATCTTTACAGAAGTAGATTGCCCCATCTTCCTTCTGAGGTGTGGCTGCTGGGTTTGAACTATCAACCTGGTGAGCAGGTCAAATGCCTTAGGCACTATGCCGCCAGAGCTCCTTAGAGGGTTATTAACACCAAAGAATTTGTTAGACCTGTGAAAGTATGAGGAAAGGTATGGCATGAAAAGTTCAGGAAAACATGGAAAAAACTCACTGCTATCCAGGGGATTCTGACTGATTCTATAGGACAGAGTAGAACTGCCCCATAGAGTTTCCAGGGCTGTAATCTTTGTTTTTTTTTTTTTTCCAGCAATCAGAATTTTTTTTTTAATTGTGATTTGGGTGAAAGTTTACAGAACAAATTCACTTTCCATATAGCAGTTCACATACACTTTGTCTCATGACATTGACTATAACTTACCCCAATGCAACAGCTCCCCTCCCACTTCCTCCCGATAATTAC